TCTCTCTCTCTCTCTCTCTCTCTCTCTCTCTCTCTCTCTCTCTCTCTTTCTCTCTCGACAAATTCGAAACTTTTCTGGGATGCTTTTGCGTACGCAGAGGGCTTAATATCGACCGAAACATTCTGTAGAATATTTCCGTTTCATATGATGTTTGATAGACATATGCAAATAGTTCAAGTTGGAAAATCCGTTTCGAGAATCATTCCAAGGTAAGTGTTAGATAAACATTTGTGTTTAACGCAATTTTCACATTTTCTTTTTCGTTTTATTTTTTCAAATGTCAGGTTCTTTTTTCATGCTCTAAAAAGAGTCAACATCACTTTTAAATTCTATCGTTATAACAAACGAATAGAAACGCAAATAATCGGTTTTATTTGATTTTGGCTTGGTGTTTTTTGATTTCACCATTATCTGTTTGTGTGAATGAAATTTTCTGCTGAATAGTCTGCAGTCAAAATGACGAAGGATGAACGGAAAAATGGTGAAATCAAATCACCAAAACACACGAATTGACAAAGTTTACAGCTTTGTCGTTTGGTTTTTTTACTCTTTCAATCTTTGCTTTGCGATAGTTACTATTTAATTGATGCAGTACGCTCACAAGAGAAAATTCAATCTTTTCCTTTATTTTACATTAATTTAAATGGAGTCTTAACACAGCTTCTGACTAGGGGCTGAGGGTTCGAATTACCACCCCCACTGAGTGTAATTTTTTAAAAATTCTTTTGCTAGGGACTTTTGAGGCAAATTGCCCCGTCCCCTGTAATCAGTTTTGCTCGGAGTGGAATGAAAAACCACTGGATCTCCACCGTCAGAAGTTATGAGTGTTATTGCTCGTGTTCACACAATTATCTAAACGCCATGTAATATTTTGTGTGTATCTTATATTTTCTGCATTTTTCTGTCTCTTGTCACCAATGCCTGGTGTCTGTCTGTTTGCCGCATTCCTCAAATCAAACAAACTGTTATCGCAGGCTTACTGAAACAAACTGTCTACTAAATGATGTATTGGAAGCTGTCCGGCCACACGTAAACCTCACTTTTGATAATATTTTAGCACATATCAACACGATTTATGTACTAAAAACGAAAACCGGTGCGTTAGCTGGACAAGGTTATTTACGACTCAAGGTAAGCCAATATAATCATTTCCAATTTTGTAATTTGCTGTGCAACACCAACACGTTTATCGCGAGCAAAACATTTTTCAAAATTCATATTGAATATTTTATAGGGTTTTTGTGTCGAATCAAAGACACGAGGTCGTACTTTTGTAACCCTTGAGCATTTTTTTAAACGTATTTTTTTAGCGACGATACAACACCTCTTTATTCACTTTTTTTCTTTTCATTTATTTAATGCTCAATCTGCTCGTTTCGTATTTCGATTACTTTAATTTAAATAGAAGATTTGACCCCGATAGAAGATACCAATACCAATTTTCCTTATACCAAATATTCGCTGGATACAGAATGGAATGTATTCAATGTGCTCGAATGAGCGAATTTTTTTTTATTTTCGTATCCGTATTTTCGTGTTATTTAAGGCAATGTGCTGTTATCAAATATTCATGTTAAATGTTCATTTTTTCCCTTCTCTCTGTTTTCTCATTTTCACATTTTTTTTTTCTTGCTACGTTTACTGACGTGATGTCTGATCTGGATCCAACACAGGGTCAAATGCTTTACATAGCCGAAACGGATCTGATATTATTCCAATGTTATCCGAGCGTTATGAACTTAGACGACCTAACAAAGTAAGTTTAATTTGCAAAAAAAAAACTGAATTAAGAAATTGATGCAGCAATTTATTCTGGGAATTATGTTCGATCTATCGCCAATTTTGAAAATAGATACAAATCCGATTAAACCAGTTTTATTCTATTCCAATTTTTTTGTCAGTTTAATTTCCATTTGATGGCATTATTTTGAAATAAACTTTTCCTGATTTTGAGTTTGTTTTTTTTTTTTGTATGCAATTATTGCTTTTTTCTTTCATTTTGACGGAATTTTATTGTCAATCATTGTGAATTTTTCCCGCTTCTGATTTCTTCTACAGTGAATAATTCATAGAAGATTAAGTGGAAAATAAGCATCGACACGCGCTAAAGCTGGCACTTCACAAGTGTGCTTAAGAAATTGCAGCGATAATATTGCGTTTCCAATTATTATTTTTATCATTCGTCGTTTAATTTGCCATTTAATTTGACGCACTAACAACAACAACACAGAACTGTGAAGAAAAAAAACGAACGGAAATGATTTCAATGGATTTTTTTTTCGCTTGTATTCTAAGAAAAGTGGATATAATAACCTCTATTTTTGCCAATTATTTTATGAACAGTGCACATATGCAATATTGCACTTGTAATATCGTCTTTACGAAGAAAAAACGAAGCTTTAAGTGCACCCAATTGTGACTGCTATTTTTTTACTTCTTATGCAAAAGCATTTTATATGCAGCAATCGTTTTCATCTGTAATGTCAACCATAATAATTGTCATTTTCTCTCTCTTTCGCTCTTATTCTCTCATCGGTTTTTCAACAAATTGCTGACATTGAATAAACGAATCGTACACTTTGGTAAGGAAAAATAAACGAAAATGAAAATGAAAAAGAAGCAACGGAAAATGTTGAGTTCTCTCGTTGAAATGCAAATATGTTGGCTTGTTTCAAATAACATTACTGATAAGAATACCATCAAATGGGACAGCGCACAGTGTCAACATCATGTTAAGACATTTTTGAATAGTACACTGCAATTTAATTTGCATGCGAAATTGTAATAACATTATGAGTGTATATGTGCGTCTCATGTGCTTAATTTCGGGCATTGTATAATGCTTTGGCATTGTTTTTTCTCTCTTCATTTTCTTCTTTTGCTTGTTTAATAAATTAATTTGAAAACAAATTATATACAAAGAGCATGTACGCTCTCACAAATACACACATGCTTGTGACAGTTGTATAATTTTCTCATCATCTACATGGAAATCAACATTATTGTCAATGATTATTGTGTTCGTAATTACATTTAGCATAAAATCATGTTGAATCAGAATACATGCGTTTTCTTGTGTACGATATTCAAAAGGCGATTTGCATATATATTTTTTTGTTTTTCGCGTGTGCTTGAAAGCATGTGCGAGTGTGTGTGTGTGTGTATATATATATAGTATATCCTCCTGTCTCATGTGTGATTCGTATTTTGAGCGCGTCCCAAGTGTCTGATAACATAAAATGTGCACATCAGATTCTGGTATAGTCAAACAATAACATACTACAGATTAAAATGGCAAATATCTCACTGTACGACTTTTTCGTCTTCAGCGTCTATTTGTTCAGTCGTCGTTGCTGTATATTGTGTATTTGTGTTGTTTTTATTTGCTTCTTTACTCTCCTGACAACTCGTGACGTTATGCTGTACAAACGTTTTCAATTAGATTACGATTCTGTTTGATGTGTATCTTATGGTTTCGAACATGGTTCGCCTTTTTACAATTTTCCAACTTCCGACTTATCTAGTCGGTGAACAACGGTTCGTTTATTATATCCCTCTCCCTACGGTCACAATTTCGATTTTTCTACCATTTATTTGTTCCATTCACTAACATTTCGCTTGAATTTTTTTTAACCATCACTTCAACATATCTAGGAAAGGATTGTATATATCTGATGTTCCAATACATGATGCGACACGTGATTTAGTTTTGTTGTCTGAACAATTCGAAGCCGGATATAAATTAACGAGAAATTTAGAAGTGCTCACTGACAAATTACAGCAAACGTATCGTGAGCTGGAAAGTGAAAAGCAAAAAACCGATAGGTAAGTTTTAACGAACATCCATCGAATAGAAATATAGTATAATAAACCAACACATCACAACTTACACCCATACTGTATACATAAATTTATACTCGATAACTTATGCATCGACACAGTTTCCCATTTGCAAATACCAGGTGTTGTTGAATGCTAGTTTGATTTGTTCGATGTGTTCGAGTTTTTTTTCTTCATCAGATCGGGTTTTTTTCTATCGTACTCATAAAATAATTTTGAAACTTTTTTCTGTGTTCAAACAGGCTGCTCTATTCCGTGCTACCAATCACCGTTGCAAATGAGCTCCGGCATCAGAGACCGGTCGCACCAAAACGGTATGAATCTATTTAAATAATTAATATGATCGTCAACGCCCAACTTTAAAGCGAAACACTTTTAAACTCTTAAAATGGACGAAAATTTACATTTTTTTTTAAAAAAAGGCCATTGAAAATGATACTCTTAATGATAAGTGCAAAAAATTCAGATCAAAATACCAAATCTACGATATTATATGTGTAATACGCTCATACACCCAGTTATTTGGTTTTGAATGTAAATGAAAAGATTAATGAGAGTACTAGTTGTCGTTAGACATTTTTATCAGCACATCAATCACCAATCTATTTTGGTTTGAAATAATTAATTCTGCTTTGCTTGTCACTTTGTGATTGAAGCTTATTTCATACGATATTCATGAAGAACATTGAGAAAAAAAGGCACACACTCAATTTACTACTCAACTAAAATTATGTCAAACCGAAAAACGGTTGGTTTTTCTCGAAATATTCGATGAAGTATCACACAGCAGGAAGGAACTTTTTTTTATGTTTGCTTTTGTCAATTCATTGGCATCTTTTTATGGTTTACTCTCATTCATTTGACATGGGTACAATATCCCGCCTGCATGAAAACAATGTCTCACCATTTTCGTCGTCACCGTAAGCAATGTTCCCATAATTCATTTTAAATAAAATACTTATTTCACCGCAACAAGGATGCCTTAGAATGATATGGGATAAAGGAAATAACTGTACATCATATGTTCGATGTTCCAATTCGTCGATAACATATTTTTGGGGAGTGTTTATGCTTTTTTTTTCCCTATTTTCCAAACAAAAGCACAAAATCGTCGATATTATTAGTAAAATTTACTTTCGGTTATTTTCATAAATAACTGAATTCCACTTATTTTTTTGTTGTTGTTGTTGCTTTTTCGATTTTTATCGCTTCTCATCTGTGTATTTCTTCCTTCTCATTTGTTCAAATATCCAATTTGGCTGGAAATCCACACACACACACAACAGGTATGACACGGTAACGTTGCTGTTTTCTGGTATCGTTGGTTTTGCACAGTATTGTGCAGCAAATACAGACGCAGAGGGTGCCATGAAAATTGTGAAAATGTTAAATGAACTGTACACAATATTCGATGCATTGTGTGACACAAAACGTATACCAAACATCTACAAAGTAAGTAAACCGATATAAATTTGATCACACTCGATGATCATCATTATTTTCAAACAAAATATAATAATAATCATAATAATCGTGGTCAACTGCGGAGACAAAAATGGATGTTTAATATCAAGTAACTTGATATCGTCGACAAATAAATCGATAGTTTAAAGACTAAAATAAACAAGATTATGCCGAAAAAGCGGCTCTTGACCAGAGCTTAAATATGATGTGATCAGTGCCGTAACCAGTATTTCTTGCTATTCATTCCTCAAATATAATGAACAACCGAAATGAGCACAGAAAATTCTCTACATATATTGCATGGCAATTAACTCACCATCAGCTTGGTTGCTCTTTATCACCAAACATTTTTTTCCCAAACTTTATATCTTCGGTTACGGTAACAGAGAAAAAAAACTAGGAAAAAATAAATGACTAGAGAATGACCTCCATTTTTCGTATTTGTTCGTTTGGAAACGAGTGATTTTTTTTTGTTCGTTATTATTTTTTGTGTGGCATTTTCGATTATTCCATTGCTTTCCTTTCACAAAGCGTATATTTTTGGATTTACCTTGTGTCGGATAAAATGATGATGATTACATTGATGCTCTCTGTGCACATAGGTCGAAACTGTTGGCGATAAGTACATGGCGGTGTCCGGACTACCAGAAGCATGCGAAAATCATGCCAAATGGATTGCAAAACTGGCCTTAGATATGATGGACATGGCTAAATATGTTCAAATGGGTGCCGAACCGGTGGTAAGTGAACAACAACCAAATATCAATTTTCATTCCATTTCTTTTTGGTTCGTTTGCATGCCATTTTTTTGCTGTTCAATCGTTCACGTTTACATATTTCGTTTTTTTTTTCAATTTCTGTCGAATGAAACGTATTATTTGGCACATGTGTTGGCATATGTTCGTTGTGCTCGTATTGATTTCACGAATTCATGGTTGAAATTTCTATGAAAAAGATAAGAAAAAACGGACTTCAGGGTTTTAAAAAAAAGAAAAATAAAGAGGAAAAAAGATGAAAAAAAGAATAACAAAAAGAGACTGTTCTCTAAAGAAAAAGAAAAATGGCTGAACGAATAGGCTAGAGGGAGTGTATGAAAAAGGTATTTTGTAACAATACAAAACATGTTCGATAGAATTTATTGAATTTTTCCATTTCTTTCACGTACATATCTTCATTCCGGATTCTTTGATGTTGTATTCAAGTCGTAAAAAATATACACACATTCATGGCTGGCTCTGCTTTTTCTTCTATGTGGAAGCTACAACCAAAGTATGGCAATAAGACAACATTACTTACTAACGCCACCAAATAATTCTATATAGTTCTGCGGTTGCCAGCGGTACTAGTCTCCAATAAAGCGTGGCCGAGCTGTCATTATTTCCATGCTCTGGCTACAGCTCACTTAGTTTTTGTGCTACGCACGCAAATTCGAATATGGCGTCTGAAGAAGAAGAACTATATTTCGATCAAACTACTGATTTACGCATCGCCACCCGATGATGCAAATATTTTTTTTCTTTCACATACTACCGTTTAAATGAACATTGAGTGTATACAATGCCTATAGGCATAAACCATGAAATCGTTGAGCGACAAGCTTCTGATTATGTTCGAATATTATCACGAAAACGACACCTGATGACACACAGCAGACAACAAAACGTTTAGAATGTTTTCTTCTGTCATTGACCAAACACATGCTATGCTGGTTTCATATTCATTCGAGCAGACGATAAACATATTATTCAAAAAAAAATGTAAAGGCATTCATTCCAATACAACGATATGAACGAATTGAAGACAACAAAGTATTAAATTTTTCCATTTATGTGAATTGTGTGCTACAGAAGAAAACAAAAAAGGGATTTCTGTTAAAAAAAGCTTAAAGAATACACCAATACATTACTTGAAAACGTTTCAATTCACATCGTCCATTATTGAGGTGATGGAGAATATTTGATTAGAAATAAAAATGCACGGTGTCTGATTGAAGTTCTAATTACTTTTGTTTGTCTTCGTTGTCGTTGACATTATCGAAATTTAATCATTATGTATTCGAAACAGTGCATCAGTGAAATATTTTGAAATTGTGTTTGCGGTCGGTTTGCTATATTTCATTTCATTTTGATGATTTTGTGGTAGTTTAATAAATAAAAGTCTGAAATAGAATAATATGACCGAGTGCATTGTGTCTGCGATGCAGATACATTCTTTTGTGTGATTTACTTCGGTGTGTATTTACCACGAAATTTAATTCGCTCATCATAACGAACGTGCAAAAAAGTAGCAAAAGTATGGCACGCAATAGACAGAGATCGAAGTGTATGAATGAAAAATAGAATGAGCTATAGATGGAGCAAAATTAAAATGCTGCGCAACAGAAAGAAATATGGAAACGAAAAAGGCAAAATGTAATAATGTAATAAGCGTAATATTTCTCTTTCTTGCGGATTAAAGCAATTGGAAAATTGAATCGAACCATTTTTTAGTCATATAATTTTAACTGCGATTCTTTGCAGTATCGTCACGCTTCCGACACCGTCATCGAGTGCCGTAAAAAATGTGTCACGAAGATTCGATGAACAAAAAGTGAAATATTCCTGAAATGTAATGACACTGCTTCACACTTCGATATAACAATTTTATTTTCATGTTCAATCTTTCTTTAGCCATCGACTCGATTCACATTCAGTCTATCGCTCTTTTACGCAGTCGTTCGGCTCTATCTTTCACGTGCGCACCTTTTCGATTTGCTCGGAATAATTCAGAAATTCCACCAGCTAATTGAATTTTTTAATATCCCGACAAATTTTCTTTGACTTGATTCGATTAAACGAAACTTAATTACATTTTCTTCGCGCTCCGTTTTCTCGTTCTATCTTTTATGTGTGCGAAAGTGTTACTTTGTGAAAGTGACACTTTCACAAAATTCAATTGAAAGAGAGAAATAGATGGTGATGGATAAAGAGTGAGAAGAAAAATTGCTAAACCGTTTGTAACTTAGACTTCTTACGCCCGAGCGTCTTTGGTGAAATTAATTACAACAATAATGATGACAAGTATCACGAAACATTTTCTTCACATGCAATTCCAAATGGGATAAGTGTTTCCAATTGAAGACATTCACACACTTTTGCTTTTCTCTCTCTCTCTCTCGGGAAATCGCATTTAATTTTCTTGCACTTGGTTTCACGTTACGTTTGATTTCTATTCTTGCATTCAGGTATTGTTACCCATTGAATTTGTCAAGCTAACTGATACTATTGCATACACTGATTTTGCATGTTTGAAATTTGACATCAACGATGACTGATGAAATATTCAAACCTTTGCATGTATGCTGTGGGGCATGTATTGCTGAAGTAAAAATGCCAGGTTGTACGGGAGTAAAAAATGTCCTTCGTTCGATATACGTGTTCTATTGAGCATCAATTACGTAAATTAATCAATCAAATTGGTTAAATTGAAATCAATTATTCCATTTTCTGGCTGCATTGAAACTCAATGAACATTTTACATGTTTGCATGGCACGTTGTCTAAATTTTTGTTACCAAAATGACATAGATTCGAATTGAGTTCTTAGCGTTAGAGAAAAATATATACCAAAAGCAGCATAAGCTATAGAAAATCAAATGAAACGACATGACGCCACAATATGCTAGCAGGAAATTACTCTAGAAACGTTTCGATCGATCGTTTTATTTTTTTTAAATCCATTCTATTTTCGATTTTACAATTTACATTGTTTGCATGAATATTTGCTTCGAATGCAATATTGTTTGATTGGAAGTATACTTTTATTCTTTCTCTCTCCCTCTCTTTCCACTTTTATTGAATCTCATCCATAGTAAAAAACAAAGAATGCGAAATCGCAATCACCATTTTGAAATATTTTATGTCTATTTTTTCTCTCATTCTATTGTTTCTTTTGTTCATTACAAATTTCGTTCGCATAGAAAATCACGATTGGCATACATTCGGGAGAAGTTGTGACAGGTGTTATTGGAAATCGAATGCCACGATATTGTCTATTTGGGAATACAGTGAATTTGACAAGTCGAACGGAAACAACTGGCGCACCCGGTCGAATTAATGTGAGCGAGGACACGTACAAGTAAGTTTCACTCAATTTCAAGCATATCGTATGCTTTATGCTCATATTATTAAATCGAACAAACTCGATTGGCTGTTTTGTTTTGTTGCCCGTGTATATATATATTCTTTCCATCCGCGATCGAATTTTTTTTCTTCTCTCGTTTCTCTGTATTTGTGGCTAATATTCATGACTACAGACAGTAATTAGGCTGAATTATAACAAAGAACAAAATCAGCGACAAACCACAACCGTTCGAAAGGGAAACATAGAAAAAGCTACGAACAAAAAATGCGAAACTATGCTCAAAAGTCAATTGCATGACAGCAGGAAGGAATATGTATTGAGGCAAAAACAAAAGTAGCAACAGCCAGGAACAAGTTAAAAGAATAGTGAATACAGCTATTAGGTGGAAAAAGCTAAGAAAAATAATCGCCGAAGAATTGGAACAAACGACACTTCCTGAACATATACATTTTCTACATATATAGTTTCATGCTTTCCGTTTTGTGGTGCTACGTACAGGGTCATCCATTTGAACCTCTTGAATTATGACATATATGCCATCTGTTTCCAATCAAATAGTTTGAACATTTCAACGTGACAGATGTTTAAGTGTTAATGAGAAAAAAATAGATATGTCTTATCCGCAGAAATGAGAACTTACCTACCTAGACCATTTAAAGAAAATAAAACACATTCAAAAGATGCAATTGGATGACCCTGTATATGCGACAATCTGAGTTCTTCCTTTTCGTATATAAAACAATCCGTAATATTTTAGGCACAATGTACAAGCTTTTATCTGTGACACAGTTACTTTACACTGCCTCTCTGTTGACTCGTTTTAATTTCCAGTTCAGAATCGTTGCGTACGGTGTTGGTTTTTCTTGTATGTAAGATTGTATGCTGCTTTGGTTATATCGTTGTTTCAGTGTCAAGTGTTTGATTTTCTATGAAATGTTTTTCCAAGTTGACTTTTACGCCTGCATAAAAACTGCCGTGTAAGCTTAAGCGTCCAGCGCCCATATAGCAGTTCAATCAAGCAAAAGGAAATGATTTCATTGTTTATGTGTTGCGCTTTATATGACTATTTTACACAACAGCAATGGATGTTAACGTTGTAACTGCACAATGTACGACCACATCGGGGGGCCAATGTTTGTTTACTGAGTGGATTCGCTTTCAACGAAGAGAAGAAGAAAAAATAATAGGGAACATGCGAATCGAATGAACAGCGTCCTGACTGTATGGCGAAGACAAAGAATATGAAAGAGGATGAAGCAAAGGAACAATGTAAAATATAATGTGCATATAAACATCCATAAAATACATAAAACTTCCTCTTGTTCCCTGTTTCTCTCCCTCTTTCGTCGTCTCGTTACTTTGGCGGCTATTGAAATAGAGAAGGAAAAATCACAATGTCCAACATTAACTCGGGAAAGGAGAGCGAGAGCGAGAGCGAGAGAGAGAGTATATTTTGAACCTTTTTTACCTTTGGCCTTGTTCACTGCTGTCAACTTATTCTCTCGCTATCGTAAATAATAAATGCAACGGCTCGATGTTAAATGCGTGGGATGACAAAGTTAACACAATTTTAAACGAAATGACCAACGTTCAAAGCCTTATTTGTGCGTGAAAGCGTCGAAGAAAATAATTTTGTTTCCCTCATTTATGATTTGAAATTGCTCTGGTGCACGGTACAACACAATCTTTACTGAAGCTGTCTTCCATCTCGATCAAGTGCAGAGCAGTATATCAGCTATATTCTCAGACGCTGGTGCTCAGTAGCTGAGCGCGTTGAATACAATGCAACGACGTAACACAGAATTGAAGAAATTTCGCATAAAAAGAAAAGAAAATCACACATTCCCACTGTCGGCTGATGACTATTGTACTAATTTTGCATTGTATTTGACACACTCAGCGGCTCAGCGCCAGCATAGAATATCAGCGGACATTCAGATAGCCAATATACTACTCTGGTCAATGGTGTAATTTTTTGACCGTAATCGGTGGAAACACACAATACCAGGATGCGTTACCCTAGAAAATGTATTTCAAGCCAAATAAAGGCAAAAAGTTTTTCCAAACATTCGAAAGTTTTAATAAAACGCACTCAAAAAAGCTTTACAAAGTCTGGCATGAGAAGAAATAATATCTATATCATGAGTACGCTCAGGCCACAAGCAAAATTACAAAAATTCGTCCATTCACGTGTTGGTTTGGTTTTGATCACACCTCGACATTTTCAGTCCTTCCAACTTTTCAAATAGATAAAACTTTTGAATTGAAACAAATTAATGAACGATTGATTGTCCCATTTCATTTGTAAACCATAACATTAAATGCACACCAAAATACGATTCATGCGAAATTCACTTGTATTCAAACATTTACTTTGTGATACGCACATAACAATTTATAACAGATATAAATATACACGATTTGTATAACATCGCGGCCAAATTACCGCTTAAATATACAACAGAGAGTTGGCGGATGATGTACGGCCCGAGAAAAAATCACCTCCCAAGAGGAACATAATTTTGTGTGTGTGTGTGTGAAACAGAAAGAGAATAAAAAAAAACAACAAGAATAACGAATAAACCCAGTGACTAAAGTGGCTATTAAAATAAAACGTTTTGCTTTTGCGAACATATCTCCGTTCCACATTTACATACCTAATGATGATACTGTTAAGTCAATAGTTGTTTCCTTTGACTGTTAACCTCAAATCAAAATACAGAGCTTACCTTATGCTCTGGCTGTAAATCTGTTGGAGCGCGCACGCACAGTTCTCGTACACGCACACATACACAAATTCCAATTTGAAAAGTGTCAAGCATATGTACGGTGGCACTTAAACATACTCATACGCACGTGAGTGCATCACAATTAAAAGTGATCTCCTCAAGACGATGAGTTGCGATAAAAGTAAATGTAAAAAACTACAGAAAATAAGAAGCTACAGCTGGTGTGTGCGCACGGTACCAAAGTCCAATTAAATGAACTTGCGAATGCTTTTACACCCAACCTATAGGTATTTAATTTATTTACATAACAGCCGTTTGCACGCTGACACATTTCACAAAATTAGTATGATTTCGACATTTTGTAAGCCATTCGAAATTTGCCGGAGGTTTACAGCAGCCACCATAATAGTCGCAATAACCATAAAATATTCCTTGAAAAAGGTTCCGATGAAGATTAACCGTAAAGATGACGTAAGCTTAGCGCACTAAAATAATACACGACAAAGTCTCTTCGCCGGAAAATTGCAATTTGTTGAAATGAATCCCATAAACAGATCTTCTTATTCGATCCACATTTTTTTTCTTTCGTTCCATGATATTTTTTATCAGCAATCATAAGCAGCACTAAAATATCGCTTTGACTCTCTTTGGTTAATGCCAATGTCACGCAGCACACGAATTTTTTTTTAATCATTTATTTCAGCGTTTGTATTTTGAATTTGATTAAATATGAATTTTGATTGAATGAATAATGTTATCCGTCGTTGAGATTAGATCAATTACGAATCACAAAAATGAATACGCCAAATTTGGAGAATTGGCAGAAAAAGCAGAAGCAAAATGAGGGGATACCATTAATTTTATAGCGAAATATACGCGCGCACCATCTCGATAAATATAATTCTATCATTATTCTCTTCTGTTTATTTTCCTAATTATTAATATTTTTTTTCTTCTCTCATCTTGTCTTCTATTCTTACCGAAACAGTCAAATATTTAACGTATCACGAAATTAAAATAACTCAAGCGGTCGATTGGTTCAAAGAAAGTCAACGAATGGAAAAAAAGAACAACGCAATCATCTTTTTATTCTTCATTGTCTCGCATTTCATTCGTCCATCATTGCATGGGCCATTGTGTGTGCCCAATGATTTGTAACAACGTCATTTGCATAAATTCAGTCACAATTAAAGCAAAGGTCAATTGGCTCATTTTTGTTTTTGCTTAAAAGAAAAAGTCGATTTGTTCTTGGCACCGGTAAAATGTATATATATATTTCTATGATAGAATATTCTTGGTTCTATTTTCATTAGTGTGTAAAGAGATACTCTCTGCAGGAATATTTTCGTTCAAGCTGCGACCCAACCGATAATATTTTCTCCTCTCTTCGTATTCCGTAACTTCGTTCTTCCATGTCCTTTATATAGATTTGAAGCGTTGTGGTGTCTGGTGTAAAGTATTTTCCATTTTTCGAACAACAAAACGACCGCACAAACTTGTATAATTGGACCACATTGCTTGTTAATCCATTAAATCGATGTAACATTTTAAACTTTTTGGCACTTTTAACATATTAATTCCAGATGGCAATTGATAATTGGTTCGCAAATTCTCTCGAATCGTACATCTACCGATGAGCATACAAAAAAGAAACGAAAAAGAAAATGTTTAAAGAAGAAAAGTTCAAGAACAATATAAGATAGACATAGAACAAACTAATGCAAAATACAACAAGCATGAAGCAAACAGCATGGACGGTACGTGTTTTGAGAAAAGGCATAGAGTGTACGTGTTTTGAATATTTTAAACTACTGTATATGGGTTATATGGTTGAGAGAGATTGCAATGAATGTTTAATTGAATTGGAGACAGCGTTAAGTGAGTGCAAAAGACCAAAAATTTAGCAACGGTCAGAAATATGATTATTTTGTAGAAATGTAAAATCATTGAGCCTGAATTAATGCTCTGAGGAGTATGGGTCATTTTAATGGTGTACATTAAATTTTTTTCATTTTTACCTGGCTAAAAAGCGATGTGAAAGCAAGCAGAAAAATGTATTAACTACAAATAAATCGCATCATAGCTGAATTGAATCGTGGATCGTTCGAACTTTTGGTTGACTGAATCATAGTAGCCCCATTGCCATGTCACAATGTTCACATTTTGTTCGTACTAAACGGTGATGAAATATCTTTAAAGAATAATAACGATAACGCAAATAATAAAAGGAATCGCTAATAAATTCACTTTGAGCATCAAGCTGATGGTGCACACAAGAATTTATTGCAGTGGAAAGCAATATGCAATAGAAAATGGAGAAAGAGAGAGAGAGAGAGAAACATCAAAACGGAACAAAATCCACATTCACACTGATTATTTTTATAATCTTTGTTGCTTAAGACACAACCATGGGGTTATGATAGACTCAGAGAGGTTTATGTCACAGATGTATTACATATGTTTCTTGACTCTAGATTTCTTCATGCATACAAAAAGAGTGACAACACGACAATCAATTGCTAACCCATACGCATATTTCACACAAATTCTCTCTCTCTCTCTCTCATACACACACACACATTCACACAAATAACTACACTATGCACGGTACAGTCTCGAAACTGTATGCAAACGCATCAGATTTATTATTATCGTTTGTTCGTTTCTCTCGGGCATTTATCAAACAAGCCATTGAGTGTGTTGGTTGTGAATTTTAAATTTGAAATGTACGCACATAAATCATAAAAGCACAAAGTAATCTGACTTAAATGTCCTTTGTGGCTATAAAGTTTCAAAAAGAGAATATGCAATTCATGAACATTTCTATTTGCGTGGCATTATTGGTTTTTCATCTCTATTCCGTTGATGCATCGAACAATTGTTAAAAGTGTGCCACATTTCCATCCAAAAGAGAAACATTTTGATTATGCATGATGGCGATGGAAAGATTATGTTGAAGAAGGATATGGACACATGGATGGTTCAAGAAAAATTTGCAAGAAGAAGAAGAACAAAGCATGTAAGCGTCATGTGGAGAGAGCTGAAACTTGACGATAAAGTGCATGAGACGATCATATGCGAAAATCAAATTATTTTACTAGTTAGATTGCATATGAAAAATGAAATGAAAATGTATATTAATCTAGTGATGAAATGCACCAAGAGCTCAATTGCAATGGATGATCCGCAATGAGCGTGGAGTATTTGAATGGAATTTATGTTTATAAAATGAAATAAATTCCAATGTACGGAGATGGATCAGAAGTGGGCCACGTTCAAGTGGTTTTGTCGTGAAAAAATCAATAAGTTTTATGAATTTCCGTAAATAAATGTGCAGCAAGCATTAACCTTAATAAAATGAGGGCCAACATAAAATATTTAAAAGTAAGCTTATCGCAATGCAACGGAAAAACGGCCCATTTATCTGTCACATTCAGTAATTTATTGATTTTTCTTTTGACAATGCACATTTTAACTTCGGTTAATGGTTGCACTGGAAAAAAAATCCATTTTCACACAATTGAAATGTAACTATATAAAGATATGGTTACTATAGTTACTATAGGGTTTGCGCTCTTATCGAATGTGAATAGAAAAAAACGTAACCATTTGATATTGTCTTTTTTGTATGGGAAATGTATTGTAGTTGTTCGGATGTGCAGAATTTTAAAAAATTCATGCGATAGAATTTGCAGAGTAAGTTGATAAGAAACTAAACTAAATGAAGCACAGCCGAATGTCAATCATATCTAGGTGCAATTTGATAAAAATACAATAAATAATCGGATGTAACGGTTGAGCGATGTAGAGAAAGACAGATAAAAATCCAAGTATATAAAATGGTATCAATAATTCGATCAACAAGTTACTTTTGTGCACAAATGAAGGGTCGACCCGGTCCCGTGTATAAACGCTTTCATACACAGAGAAAACACAATGTGTACAGTGCACACACATACACACACACACACACACACACACACACACACACACACACACACACA